CTTGAAAATATTTACAATGTTGCATTTCTTTGTACACAAGAGACTAAGTTACAAGCCATTCAGTATAAGATTAATCATCGTATACTTATGACAAACTCAAAACTTTTTAAAATAAAAATTACAGAAAGTAATTTGTGTACTTTTTGTAACAGAGAAGAAGAAACAATAGAGCATATTCTTTATTTCTGTTTTTACTCCAATGCGGCGATAGAAGAATTTTGTTCATGGTATTCTGATTATGATGATCAACATGTAGGTGTTCTACAAAGTGCAGACGTAATTTTTGGAAATGCTAATTTTAGCGATATCTTGAATCTTTTTCTTTTAATACTTTTAATACTGTAGAATCAATGATGTTGGTCCTACTTTTACTGCATGTAAGACCAGATTCAGAAAAACTCTGGAAGTGGAATTCTTTATAGCAAAATGAACAGGCTCACTTGGTATATTTCATCGAAAATGGGGGGCTTTTGTCAATGCTCTGAGACATGAACCAGTTGGGGGGGGGGCAGATAATAGAATATTGTTAAATACAGTCTTTTATATTTATCATGTTTATATTTACCATGTAATTTATCAACTTTAAAGATTTTTTTCGTGACTGGACTCTTTCCTAGTGAGTAAGAAATGTAAGAGGACATATGACATTCAATGTAATGTATGTGTGTGCGAGAATCTTTATGTGTGTGAGTTTGAGAATCTGTATGTGTGCATGACCTGTGAGTGTATGTAAGATGCATGTACCAGCTGTACATATGGTTCAATTATAGTGTGATCATATAGGCCCAAACTGTATGTACTTTCCCTTAAAGGAGTACATGCACCTTATTAATATATAACGTGTGATCAGTGCATACTTTGGTGTTTGGATCTGTTGTTGTGTAAACAAGTGTAGGCCACTGTATATTGTTCTGTTATTGATTACAACGAGGAGGACATGTATTTTGCAGGAACACTGGACATTTATTCAGCACTGGTGTTTACATCATGGCAGCCGTCGAGCTCTCTCTTAAAACGAGGCTGTCCTATAGTCTATATCAGAACACTATACTGCAATATTGACCTAACTATAAGTATAGTCTGTATCATAAAATGTAATGGCTAACACCACATATATGTGTGTTAATCCATACCTGTGTTAAGCGAATATAGCATCAGTGAGTATGTATTCTATTTAGGTATCTACATAGTAAAATATTTGAAGGATGAATGTGTGAAGCGGTGTGCGAGAGCCCCCCTGTGAGGGGACACAATTTGTTTTTGAAGGCTGACCCAAAGGCCCCAATGGACCTTGGCAGTCTGCCAATATAATCATGAATAAATGTCTTGGGGAAAAAATATTTTCTGGTTTGAACAAGTGAATGGGTAACTGTTAACAATTCATGATTTGGCTCTAATTTAATATATATAAGATATAATCAAATAAAAACCTAGCAAACATATATCTGTACAATAAAAGACATGTCGAACAAAGTGACAAGGTCTGGTGTTGTGAATAAAGGATATTTCGACAGCAAATGTTGAGCTTGATATTTACAAACAGCGCTTAGCCAAAAGGGGAGATAACTCTAAGCTGATAATTTAGCTAGGTAGGGCACCAGTATTTTGTAAGGCGTATATTAATCATGCTAAGCTTCAAAGCATTACTTGTAACGTACTATATTTTCCCCGTTAAGAATTTTCCTTAATTCATAAGACATATGTAATTACAATAGTGACACATTTGGTATGCAATGAATATTAATAAGAATAATAATATGACATATATTCTATTTTAAATTGTAAAATGTACAATAATTAGTATGAAATTTATAAGCATTGTTTACAGTAATGTCTTAGATTTCAAAACTTCGTACAATATATAACAAGAAATATGACATAGGCTCACATGAAAAACAGCAAGGAGACAGCCTGTTAAGTTGATGTTTTACTTTATTTCATCCCAAGTAGAAGTGAAGATTTGGGGAGAAACACAAGTAATTCAAGGGACTGTCCGTGAAAGGTTAGACTCTGATTGGCTGACCAGTTTGTAGCGCATGCTCAGATTGCTCACAGGTACGCGTGGGTTCGTAACAAAATTTATTTACTCAACACGGCCGTAATGCTCGGTTACGTCACACTAATTTGTTAGCCCGGCTAATTGAACCTGCTCACCTTGTCAGTATCCTATTACAATAGGTTTTAGTGAGTGTCAGGACTGGCCGAAATGAATCAAAGTGGCTTAAACCTTTGTAAATATGTAACTTTAGTTATTTATCAATATACTGTTTTTAAGACAGGATGACCAGTACAAAAAAGTAAGTTTGTACAATGAAACATAGACTTAGGTTGGTCAAATACAAAAACACTCTAACAAAGATTAGTGGCGAGACATTTCCGGCGTTAACTCAAAATACGGGAATTTCCCAGCTAGGGCTTATTATTATTAGAAAAATAGAAATTAATTACCATTGTAACCTGGACGAGAGCGACTCGCATAGAATGGCACAAACACATAATATACAATATATACAAGTTTAATACACTATATACACATTATAAATTGTACACACAAATGTAAATATGTACAACTCACTCACTCATTCAAAACACACACACTTTAATAATTACATATGAAACAGTATAGTCTGTCCTCAACGAATCTGGAAAGAGGTCTGGAAACGTATCTGGACCGACTAACAACCAGCAATGTTCACAGCATCGAACAGTTGCCCATTGAAACGTCTGATGACAAATGTCCAACGGAATTCATAATTAGAGCACAACTGTCCACACAGCATAGCACCTGCCCACACAGGATATCAGAACATCTGTCCACACAGGCCATCATAGCATCTGACCACACAGGATATTAGAACATCTGCACGACCACACAGGACATCACAGCATCTGCTCACACAGGACATCATAGCATCTGTCAACACAGGACATCATAGCATCTGTCCACACAGGATATTAGAACATCTGCACGACCATATAGGACATCATAGCATCTGCTCACACAGGACATCATAGCATCTGTCAACACAGGACATCATAGCATCTGCCCACACAGGACATCATAGCATCTGCCCACACAGGACTGTAACTGGCGGCTGTCCTGGCCCACATATGACTGTATTCTATATATGTATGTACTCTGACTGTGTCACATTCGTTCCCGCCATCAACATGGGTAGAACTGCAATAACACAAGACTACGCCTGACTATGCTGACTATATAGTCTATAATGATTCATAAATATTTATACACAGTATTTCTTCTATTTCAACTATTATTTGTGTATATACATTCATCTGCCTACATACAGTAATTGATATGAATCTATTCACTAATTCTAGTCTGAATTCCATGTAATTCATTGACATATTGACAAGTTTCGCTTATATTTATTAAATACAAACTAAATTCATATAACAGTTGATATCTTATAGCTATAATAGAGATATATTGAACTGTACTCATATAGCGTTATAAGCATATACATTTATCGGTAAATTCGCCTCAAATATCAAACACAACAGATTTCGGGCATATAATTGCAATATAAAGGCACAAGAAATGATTTCAAACTTACCGCAAACTGTATTTTGCGTTGGCTAACCCCATATAAGCAATAACTGACTGCCAAAATTTACACCGCTGTTCTCGCTTACATGTATATTTTCCTTCCGGCGAGACTAATTTCAAATATTCGAACTCGGATCCGGAGAATCCGCATTTATAAAATTTACTGCAAATAATTAAGAAAATAAAAGTACAATATTTAGACCAGATAATACCTGATTTCTTTCATCAAATACATGCACAAATAGTTCAGACATTGTTTGATATATACAAAAATGTAAATTATACAAAAGTATGGTTGGGACTGTGACAACCATAAGATATAATAAAATGAAATGTAAATTTTTAAGAAATGTGGACCTAATTTTAACGTAAATTATAAATACTTTCAGTATATTTATTATAAAAAAATGAATAAAAAAAAGGTTTCATAAAGAAAAATGAAATAATGTAAATTTTCCCTATGAAATTTATATAACGCAGCTTGTAGTATGATAGTTATCTAAAACTCTTGACTCGCCAACAGGTTGTCCTTTAAATCATTCCCGGACATCTTTCATGTTGACATTAAAGAAACTTTGATATTGACGTCGAATTGCCCGGCGAAACTTAGTGACTTATTCCGAATCACTTTTGTCCCTTTCAACAAGGCTAATACTGTGTTGGTCGTGTCATCAAATATGACATGTTATGTTCAATTGACAACTAAGAGATAAAGTACTACTATTATGGACGAATATAAAGTCAATTGCTGCATGGTTTAAGAATTATCAATAAGTTGGATTTTAAATTATATTCTATTGTTCTTCTGTCCACTGTTAACTCAAAAGCCCCTCCACAATGTGATTTTTTTTATTAATCTAGGTTAGTGAACAATAGCGTTTGCCATTCATAAAAATAAGAGATAAAGTTCATATATAGAAATCCATGTCAACAAAGATTTTTACAGACAATTCACATGGCAAAAAATTCAAAATCTATTCATATATCTTGACAACTTGACTTGATAGAGCTCTTGGTCACGAACAGTTGAAAGGAGTTATATGATTGGCTAGGACCGAATTAGAGGCAGCTTCGAATGAATATTTCAAGATGCCAACTTAACTTTAATTTCGCTTGAAATGGATTTATATAACACATACAGTCTTAAATATTTCAGGTAAAATATTCATATACAACTCCTGGAGATTAGAGGTCACGGTATTGACGATAAGACCATCATTAATGCTTGTGTATATTACGCACACACACACACACACACACACACCCTCACACACACACACACACACACCCACCCACACACACACACACACACACACACACACACACACACACACACACACACACACACACACACACACACACACACACACACACACACACACACACACACACAAAAGCACATCCTTGATTTTAATTCTTTGTAACTTACCTTTCAACCAAAGCGGTATCTTTGTGCCACAAGACATTGGCTCTGGTTGCTTCGTTGGCATATCTTCATCTCCAACTCTGTACCATCCCTCTTGTAGATGTAAATCGTCAACTGGAATATCAGCAGGATGGAGTTTATTGTTGACAAAGCGTAGATCTGCGAACGGCAGAGCCATGTATTGATCACAGGGATTCGCTGATATCACCGTAATTCCTGAAAAGCGTAGTTTTAATATTAAACTAATAATAAGACAAAAATCATTAAAACGAAAAGGGAGAATACAACACATACCGCAAAGGATCACCAGAAGGGAAGCCGTCATAGTCAGTTAACATCAAGGTAGGCGCTATGGAGGGCAATTTACTGGATACTAATCCATTAACAGCGTTGTGGTATGCCTCACAACACAATGTAGTAATGCGTATTGATTTAAATATTACATAACTAAAGGGAGACCTGATCAAAACATGCGATAACACAGACCCAATGACACAAAACTTGACATTGGTGAGTTGGAACACTTAAAACCTGGTCTGCCGGCGTCTGTCTGATGATAATTCAGTGTTGTGCACACTAACGACATCCGCATAAAAATGAGTCATCAGGATAATGTGGCAGGGTTGCATTTTTATTAAATTTATGTTCTATAAAAGGGTCATAGGTCAAGAGTGTGACGTCACCGTCTATCTCTTATTTGACTAGTCAGTGTGTTTTCGCGGTTTCTTTTGTGTGTAGACGGAGAGTTGACAGAATGACAGCAGTGACGATGGACACTGAAAGAAGAGAGGAATGATCTCGATTTCAGAATGAATATGTTCTAACCTGTTATACTTGCCCTTTATCCCAACCGGCGCGCGGTATTTTTCCAGGAGTCCTTGGTATTATTTGTACGTACGTGTGGGGTTTACCCGAGTGACCGCCATTATACCGGCCGGTACGATCGTGTTTTTATTCAATTTTATTTTCACTATTGTTTATGTATTTACAGATGTCATAGTTGTATTCGTATCAAATGAATTAGCTGGGCAAGCAGCCATGGCCTTCTGCCACACAGAGGTGATTATCAATTTAGTAAATTAGTTATATATTTGTGTTCATTTTATTAGTGTAACACGTTCGTGAATGTGATTTGCCATTCACGAGTATCAATAAAGAAGTATATATTTTAATGAGAAGTCCACACACTTATGAAATATGTGTAAAGGTAATTTATAATTTATTGAAATAATAGTTAAGGAAATAATTATATTATATGTTTCCAATTTATTACTTGTTATTCTATTATTCCCAGTTAAACGTACGTATTTTATGGATAAGTGTTAACAGTCAGTCCGTAATCGTCAATGTAATATATGTATCAATAATGTAAAACGTGAGTGTAGTAAGTCTTGTGTTTTGTATCGTTTCAGGGTATTCTTTGGAATACTAAAATAAATCGACTGGTCAGGAAAAAATTCTACTGTGCTGAGTTGTTTGTTTCACACTCATACACCCCTCGGTTTCAATAACAACTTTGTATAAACATGTACACTTGTACCAGTGGAACTGGGTATAAACATGTACACTTGTACCAGTGGAACTGGGTATAAACATGTACACTTGCGAAGCCTTGTGAAACTCTGCTTACAATGTACATTTGTTTTTTTACCACAGACGAGAATTAGACAAATAATTATAGCTTTCTGTTTGCATCAAATATTGACTTAAGAGACATATTTATTTATAAAATCAATAAAAGGATACATGATACAAGGGATGATTGATAAGTTGTGAGCCTCATGTTTGTCTTTTGGGTGGCATATTGCATTATGACATGATTCCCTTCAGTATTTATACACTCTTGTCAGCGATACTTAAGGGCCTCAATGCCACTTTTGAAGTTAAAGAATAACTTTCTTTGATACTCCACTACATGTATGACGTCATCACCTGACTAAAAGTGGGTTCCGGAAATGGGCCTTCTAAATTTTGGAATTCGATGAAAGTCTCATGGACCGAGATCAGACGAATAAGGCGGATGCTCTATCAATTCAAAGCTACAATCGTTAATGGCAGCCATGGCAATGACAAAGGAACATGGTCCTGGGGAAACAACATCTGTACTGATTATGTAAAGATTCTTTATACACAACCAGGAATTTTAATATGTGACGTTTCGGTGACCAGTACGATCCGTACGCTGTCACCTTCCTCAGACAAATGACCAGTAAAGCATGTACACAAAGGTGTGATATGTGTACGAGTTGTCGCGGAATAGCGTCGATTTCGGACATGCTGACAAGTGCCGAAATGACTGTTAGCGAATAGTAAAACCATTCGGCTACGCTTATTTTATTACTTGGTCATAGATGTGCGAGAGTCTATGAGCCCCCTCATCTCGGTTCAGAACTGCCCCGCTGCGGCGTATCTAGATGGCTTCTTTGATCTGTCGCTTCAGAAGATAGTTCTCCCTATCGAGCACCTTTGAGTTTTCCCAGTCAATCACATGGTTTTCCTGCATGGCATGGTCAGTGATTGCCGATTTGTTTATCTGGGACTCCGACTGCTTCCTCTCTGATCGGGTGAACTTCTTTTCCTCTTGTCTTTCGGTGTCTTTCCGGTGCTCCCCAAGGCGAACCCCGAATCGCCTTCCAGTTTCTCCAATATATGACGCGTCACAGTTTTTGCACCCGATCTTGTATATGCATTCTGCGACATTCTCTTTGGTTATCTTATCCTTAGGGTGGACTAGGATATTTCGAAGCGTCTTGTGGGGCTTCATGGCTGTTGCTATGCCATAGTTGCGGTATATCCTTTGGATGGTTTCAGATATACCCTTTAAATATGGGATGACCACCTGGATTTTTGTTTTGTTTTGATCTTTCATAGGTCTTTTTCTGTTTTTTCCTTTATTTTGACACTGTTTTTGTACCCGTTTAAGGGCCCATTCCGGATATTCACAATTTTTCATTGCTTTCATGATGTGGCTCTGCTCTTGAATTTTGTCCTGTTGTTCTGTGACTATGGTCTCACATAGATTGAGCAACGTGCGTACGACCCCTAACTTCTGATGTAAAGGGTGGTGGGATTTAAAGTTGAGGTATTGGTCTGTGTGGGTCTTTTTCCTGTAGACCAATAACTTCACTGTTCCGTCTTCTCTTCTGGCTATAAGTGTGTCTAGGAAAGGCATTCCGCAATTGGTTTCTTCCTCACATGTAAACTTGATGTTGTTAGTGGTGTCAATAGTGTTTATGTGGTTAGTTAGATCTTTCTGTGATCCCTTCTTGATTATTTCTAAAATGTCATCGACATATCGTTTCCATAGGCTTGGCTTGCAATCTATGGGGGCAGTGGCTATTGCTTGTTGTTCTAGATGTTCCATGAACAGATTGGCGACAGTTCCATGAACAGATTGGCGACAATAGGCGACACTGGACTCCCCATAGCAGTTCCAAAGCGTTGCTGGTAGATGTTACCTCGGAATGTGAAATATGTTGTGGTTAGTACAAATTCTAGCAGATCCATGATGTCCTTGATCTGGAGGTTTGTGTTTTTACGCCAGGATCTGTCTGACTCTAAGCGTTTTTGAATGATTTTCAGTGCATCATCAATGGGAGTATTGGTAAACAGAGAAACAACATCATGTGAAATAAATTGTTCATCCTCTTGGATCATGATGGTGGACATAGCTTCTGCTAGATGTTTAGAATTCCTGACATGATGTTCCGATTTCCCCACTAGCGGTCCAAGAATGTCTGCTAGTGACCTGGAAACGTTGTAACCAGTGGATCCAGTGTAGTCCACAATAGGCCTCAGTGGGTTCCCCTGCTTGTGGATCTTGGGTGTGCAGTATATTCTCGGGGTGTTTTCAGCTGTGGGATACAGATATCTATACTGGCTTTCGGTGATTTTGCTCTCTTGTTTTAATTTAGTCAGTATAGAAATGAGGCGTCTTTTAAATTTGTTGGTAGGGTTGGTCTGCACCTGTTCATATGTCTTGTTATCATGCAGCATTGTCATGACCTTCGCCTCATAATCGTCGGTGTCCATGACGACTGTTGCCTTTCCTTTGTCAGCTGGTAATATTGTGATGGATTTGTCTCTTCCTAATTTTTGGAGTGCGACCCGTTCTTCTTTAGTCATGTTTCTCTGAGGTAATTTTGTTGATTTTAAAACCCCTATTACCTGTGATCTCAGTTGGTCAGCTTCCGCAAAGTTTAGTTTCTTGCAGGCTTGTTCTGTGGCTACAACAAAGTCATCAACTGGGATCTTATCTGGAACGATGGCATAGTTCATACCCTTAGCGAGTAATGTTTTCTCGCTGTTGGTGAGCTCATTGTTGGAGATATTTACCACCCATTTCTTTATCACGGAATCATTCAGCGTCGATTTCGGACATGCTGACAAGTGCCGAAATGACTGTCTATGGACTCTCGCACATCTATGACCAAGTAATAAAATAAGCGTAGCCGAATGGTTTTACTATTCGCTAACAGTCATTTCGGCACTTGTCAGCATGTCCGAAATCGACGCTATTCCACGACAACTCGTACACATATCACACCTTTGTGTACATGCTTTACTGGTCATTTGTCTGAGGAAGGTGACAGCGTACGGATCGTACTGGTCACCGAAACGTCACATATTAAAATTCCTGGTTGTGTATAAAGAATCTTTACATAATCCTTACTTTCCAACCTGACGAAAATGTTCAGTAACATCTGTACCGAGTTTTGCCCTCGGCATTCGGGTTTTATATTGCCTCTCATCTACCTAAGAAGCGATGTGTAATATGTATCATTGATTGTCTGTCCCTTTTGCAGATAATATATCATCAGAATGCTATCAGCATCCAGGTCCGCCTGATTTTGCTTCTGATCAGCTGTCAGAAGTCTTGGTACCCAACGGGCTGAGAGCTTTCTCATTGCAAGGATGGAGGGTACTCTTCCTGTGAAATCCCAACTGTACTGGCTACATATCTCTCTGTAACTCGCCTGTCAGTCCTATCAATATCATTGATTTTATTGACCATTTCTGGGATGGTAAAAGTGTCAGGCCTTCCAGGACGGGAGTCATCCCCAAGACTCTGCTTGCAAAGCTTTAAATTCCGCCACCCACCTTGTCACAGTAGCATATGAGGAGCATCATTCCGTAGTGTTGCTACCATATCAGTATAGGTGTTTTTTGAGATGCTAGACCTTTCTTATACAAATATTGAATCACCGCTATTTCAGCGATTTTTTTCCATTTTGCAAACGTCTTGTTTACTTAAGAGTGCTATCTCATAGATCAATTGGTACCAGTCTTCTGCTACATATTTTTAAATAGTCAGGGAATAGTAAAGTAAAAAACCGACATCCCTGCATAACTTCTTCGCTACAAAGTTTACAACTTATCAATCAGTATTCGTTAGAGTAATATTTTATTCATTACTTTTTCCACAGACTTTTAGACGGACAAGGAATTGTCTGAAGCTTTCTCATCTTTATGTTTACGCAGCGAAGTGTTACGTTTTGATGCCCACATCTGTACTCCTCTCTTCTAGAATGGTTTGTAGGCTAAAACACCATTTTGAACAAAGCGACCAATGCTGTGACAGGGATTGACTGTGGCGATACTCAGTTCTCGTCACTTATAAAAATTTAAGTATATATACTCATAATGCTGTCATAGCGGGTAAGTGTCTGACAAACATATTTTGTAAACTACGTTGTATAGAAAATGGAAGTTACAAAAAAAGATATATAAATAATGTATGCTTTTCGATTACGACAATGACGATTGATTAAATAAAAATAACTAACCAACAACTGGCCACCAATAAACCAACTAACCAACAATTAACAACCAAATAACCAACAACTAGCCACCAATAAACCAACTAACCAACAATTAACCAAATAACCAACAACTAGCCACCAATAAACCAACTAACCAACAATTAACAACCAAATAACCAACAACTAGCCACCAATAAACCAACTAACCAACAATTAACCAAATAACCAACAACTAGCCACCAATAAACCAACTAACCAACAATTAACAACCAAATAACCAACAACTAGCCACCAATAAACCAACTAACCAACAATTAACAACCAAATAACCAACAACTAACCAACAATTAACAACCAAATAACCAACAACTAACCAACAATTAACAACCAAATAACCAACAACTAACCAACAATTAACAACCAAATAACCAACATCTCACCAACAATTAACAATCAAATAACCAACTACTAACCAACAATTAACAACCAAATAACCAACAATTAACAACCAAATAACCAACAATTAACAACCAAATAACCAATAATTAACGAACTAACCAACAATAAACACCAACCAACCAACAACTACCTAACTCCTAACCATCCATTAACCACCAACTAGCCAACAACTAACCAACAATTAACAACCAAATAACCAACAATTAACCAAACAATAACCAGCAATTAACCAACAACAAACCAAGAACTAACAAAACCTAACCACCAACATCACGATAATTCAGGCTACGTCTGTGTACTACACATTTGACCGGGTTGTATGTGATTTTACTTCTACAGTTGCTTACAACTTATACTAGGGATGTGTGTATGTGTTACTGTGGGTGTTAGTGGGTGGGGGATGATTGTGAGTGGCGTGTGTGTGTGTGTGTGTGTGTGTGTGTGTGTGTGTGTGTGTGTGTGTGTGTGTGTTACCGTGGTTGTGAGTAGGTGGGGATGATTGTGAGTGGCGGGTGTGTATGTGTGTGTGTGTGTGTGTGTGTGTGTGCGGTTTGGGTGGGTGTGTGTATGTGTGTGTGTGTGACATAGGCTACAGGGTTTGGTATTATGGATATATATTTGATTTTTTCCGATGTACACAAATACAAAATCAGATTGTGCTCAGTATAAGGAAAATAAATACTGTCGTAATGTCATCAGTATTTCTAGGTTATATTAAATATGTCTATATAAACTATTTTTAATGGCATTCATACTTAATGTTGTAGATCATACCACATATATATCGACAGGAGGCAATTTACGCTTTTAAAACGTAACTATATCTTAATTGTACAACATATTTAAGCAAGTTATTTAAATGAGTATTTAAATATACAAAGTGGATTTTACTCGATATTTCCGGTCCACGCTAGATCAGATACTACATATAAAAAGTAATGAATAAGGATTAGAAAGGGTAGTTTTTAATTTGCGGGTGATTGGAACAGAAATAACTGCAGATTTACTAATAACCTTTTCATTTTCTATAAACTTTTTTCTCATTATTATTGAAAATCAGTGAAAACATCAAAATTAATTTGTTTATATTTCATTTAATAATGTGTCATCAGCCAGTAATAAAGAATTAAAGCAAGGATATGTTTTTCTAAGAGTTATACGTGTGTAACTTATACTATGTGTGTGTGTGTGTGTGTGCGTGCGTGCGTGAGGGTGTGCGTGTGTGTGTGCGTGCGTGCGTGAGGGTGTGCGTGTGTATGTGTGTGTGTGTGTGTGCGTGCGTGCGTGAGGGTGTGCGTGTGTGTGTGTGTGCGTGCGTGCGTGAGGGTGTGCGTGTGTATGTGTGTGTGTGTGTGCGTGTGTGTGTGTGTGTGTGTGTGCGTGCGTGCGTGAGGGTGTGCGTGTGTATGTGTGTGTGTGTGTGCGTGCGTGCGTGCGTGTGGTGTGTGCGTGCGTGTGTGTGTGTGCGTGAGGGTGTGCGTGTGTATGTGTGTGTGTGTGTGCGTTTGTTTGTGCGTGTTCGTGCTCGAGTGCGTGAGTGCGTGTGTGTGTGTGTGTGTGTGTGTGTGTGCGTGCGTGCGTGAGGGTGTGCGTGTGCGTGAGGGTGTGCGTGTGTGTGTGTGTGTGTGCGTGAGGGTGTGCGTGTGTGTGTGTGTGTGCGTGAGGGTGTGTGTGTGTGTGTGATTTTATTTATCAGCTAGTATTCCTCTCTTGATACACAAAGTGCGTTTATTTTGAAGATGGTTTTTAAACAATAACTTTTATTACTATTCAGCCCTTTATGACTTTAAGTACTTTAATTATAAATGACAGTGAAGTGATACATTAACGATGTTGTAATACACAACAAACTAAATGTAAAAGGAGATCAGGTGTAACCAGGGTGTAGCTTACTACCTCTTTTCCTCACAATAACTCTTAACTCTCTTCGTAGTCACGCTCTACTTACAAAACTACCAACCCGGAAGTTGGAAAGTATTGACAAACTTGTTTTCGATATATCTCAAGCAGTGTATGTTTATCAGCTAGTCAGTAAACAGAGCAGGGTTAATTAGCTTCTATCGCGTCCTATAGATATACCCGCCAGAACATCACATACATCATGATACTGTGGAGAGTTTGGACAGCAATTTATCTTTTTAAAGGTATGCTGTTTTATTCATTTATTTTATTAATTAATTTTTTTTTCTTGCTTTCGTTTTTCGCTTAGAATTCATTCATAAAACAGAAATTATTCACAGAGATAAAACAATAAACAAAAACATTGAATTGCATTCTTTTCGCTGTGTTCTGTAATCAGGCATTATGGTTGTATTCAGCCAAACATAGCATCGTATCCTAGGATATGTAAGGTTTAACACTAGTCCCATGGGGCCCTCACAAGATTTAGTTTGGATTTATTTTAAATCGAAACTAAAGGAAAAGTTTTTCTAAAGATATATTATCCCTACAGGCCTCTGGTTCTCTTTCTCCTATCTAGACTAAAATACCTTCACCCGTACAGAAGAATTATTTCAAATGATTCCTTGGTTTACACTTGGTCAAAATCCGTCAAGTCGTTTATGTAGCATTTTGACATAAGAATAATTGACGGACCATGTGATTTAATATAAGGTATTGGTAGAAAGCCTGTGATTGTTTGACTTCTTAGTCTTAACATTCAACTGATTTAGATCTCATTATAAACAAACACTAGGTGTGATCATTTTAGTGTGTGTCCATTAAAAGGGAACATGTCTGATATTTTTATATTTTACTTTAAAAGCAAATGGATTTTCAATGATAATAAACCTTATACATTCTAAATCTGTAGTTGCACTTCCTTGTACTCTCAGGTAAAACCGAGTCTCTCACAACAAACCCATCTCTTTCAGAGCGTGACAATATAGGTTTCTCGACCACTTCAACACTGTAATCATTGTTAGAGGCTTTAAAGACGGATGATAACGATCTGGTACAGAAACATATACATACAGATTTTTATGCGAGTGTTCATTTATAAGCCTTACCGATATGGAATTAAAATTTCGGGCCGATTGTATTTAGATCTTATTTGAA